TGTGGAGGAGGTGGCAGCGAACAAAGGTGGCATCACACCAGGTGGGTGGAAGAGCAAAAGGGGGTTCTCTCTTTGCAAGAGAAAACTCTCAGACCTCAGATGCCCACTTCCTTGTGAAAAAGATGTTTGTGGGTCGCATTGAAGACGACACTGAAGTGAAGGAAATCAAGCCTGACCTAGGCAGTGGCAAGAACAGGGGCTTCGCTTTCCCCCCTAAGTTTTGATGACACGATTCCACAGATAAGACTGTCGTTCATTAAAAACAAAACACACTGTCATTCAGAAATTCCATGCAGCGAATGGTCACAGTTTGAGCCTTGCTGAAACAAGAAGTGGCCGGTGCCTCCTCCAGCCCAAGGTCACGGTGGTCTGGAAACACTGTGGAGTGCTTTGGGTGGTCAAAGAGGAAGCTCAGTGGGGGCGGTGTCTTTGGTGGCAGCTGTGGTGGATCTAGAGGAAGCAAGGAGGGCTATAGTGGATTTGGTAATGTTGGAAGCAATTTTGGAGCTGGTGGAAGCTACGATGATTTGGGTAATTACAACCATCAATTCTGGACCCATGAAGGGAGGAAACTTTAGAGGCAGATGTTCTGGCCTTTATGGTAATCGAGGTCAATACTCTGCCAAACCACAAAACTAAGGAGGCTCTGGAGGTTCAAGCAGCGGAGCAATGGCCGAGTGGCAGGTTTCAAGCACTGCCAGGAAGCAGAGCTTGGCAGAAGCAGAGAAGCGGGAGGGAAGCCACAAGTTACTAGAGTTGTGAATTCGGGGTTGGCAAGGATTAGCTGCTCCCACAAAGGTTTGACATGACATTCATGTGTATAGGCAGCAAGAGGAGACTGGCGGCTATGTATTGGGCTGTTAACCACAAGGTCAGCAGTTCAAACCACCAGCTGCTCTGCAGAAGGGGCTTTCTACCCCTGTAGAGTTATGGTCTTGGAAATGCACAAGGGCAGTTCTATCCTGCCCTATAGGGTTACCATGAGCTGGTATCGAGTTCAATGGCAGCGAGTTTGGTTTTTGACATGGATAGAGAAAGGCAGAGGACTGTCTTTGTGCCTAACCATGGCAAGGCTTATTTTAATTTCTGATCTGTGGAAAGTCTGAAGCATTCCAATAGTTTTAACATCGTGGTGTGTTTTTTCCCTTCCTTTTGCACCCATGCTGTTGATTGCTGAAGATAACAGTCTGATCCTGATGCCGAATAATTCTTTTAGAAAGTAAGAAAAGACAGAGGAAAAGAATAAACGAAAAACCTTGGCAGGAGAATCATTGGAACTCTGGTGTAAAATAATTAAAGTAGTAGTGCGCGCACGCGCGCGCGTGTTCACATCCCTCTCAGCTGCTGTTCATGATGCCGAGTCTACCACCTGCTGATTCTTTCCCTGGTGTGCTCTTCCCCTCATTCTGCCTAAGGCCGCAGTACTCCTCCTGATGATGATGATGATGATGATGATGATGAAGCCTCCAGAGGAGGAGTGCTTTGAGCATCATGTACGAAAACCCTATTCAAATGGGCGTTGTCAAGGAGGACATTTGGTCTCTCGCCAGACAGTGGGCTTCAGGGTTGTCTCTCACTACCATCGAGGAAATGGCAACTCGTAGCAGCACCCCCTGTGGGTTTCCCAGGCTGTCACTGTTTACAGGAGGAGGAAACCTAGGCTTTTTCCTGAGGAGCTGCTGGGTTTTGAACTGCTGACCACGAGGATGGCAGCCAAACTTGTAACCACCACACCACCAGGGCTCCATTTGAGTCAGTAGTTGGAAAATGGGCAAGAGTCTCTGTGAGGCGAGGAGAGTCCCCCACAAATCATCACAGGTCCAGTAGGCGCAATTGTACAGCGATAATACGTAAAGATTATAGTAAAGTCATAGAGAGCATGAGAGGTAGAGCAGAGATTGGAATAATGGAGTCAGACACAATTCATGGTAGCATGCTCACCTCAGCCCCGCTTGGTGGTCCTCATGGGGGGAGCCTGGCCACAAGAGCAGGAAAGAGCCTCGGGCACGAGAGCCCCCACTTTATTGCTAACCAAGGGTTATATCTCATTTGGGGGACATGATTACAGGTAACCACATGTCCCAGGAAGGGGCAGTACAATAGGCATAGACATTGTAGGAAGGGGATGTATGATAGGCATAAGCATAACAGGAAGGGGATGAGCTAGGGGTGTGCCCATAGGAATGGGAAGGTCTAGGGGTATACATGTGACAAGATGGGCGGACCCTAGATTCACGATGGCAACCTAACCTTGGTCATCCTTGGGCAGGTTTGACCTCTCTGGTGTCTCCTACAAGGAAACAGACAACTACTATCCTTATCAGAAGGGAGTGGGCCCTACTTGTTGTGGGATAAACAGTGGTGACTTCTTGGTCTAGATGGCTGATAGCTCTTAGGGAGAATGACCCCGATCTACTTCTGATGACCTCCAAGTCATTCGCAAGCAGCTAAGTTTGGCATATATTTGGTGGAGACAACTTGGGAGAAATCCTTCTGTTTCCCACAAGTCTCTCTGCTATTTGGTTTCTGAAACCCCCCTGAACTTACCACTTTTTATGATATATAGCAAATATATATATGACATGTATATAATAAATATCCATGCATTTTGTGATATAGTGGGTTACATGGGTAGCTGCTAACCCCAAGGTCAGTAATTTGAAATTACCCGTGGCTCCGAGGGAGAAAGATGAGGCTTTGTACTTCCATAGAGTTAACAGTCTCTGTATAATTCTTTTTCATATGATTAAACTATTGCGTTGTATAAGTGAATTATATGAAAATATATCTTTTTTTAAAAATTGTCTCACAAACCCAGAGGCAGTTCTGGTCTGGCACACTGGGTCGTGGTAACTAGAATGGGTGCAATGGCAGTGAGTGTGGTTTCAGTTTGACTAGTATTTAGCTGTATCACCGGAATTTTCCCCATACCGTGCAACCAAAAGGGAGCCCTGCTGGTATAGTGATTACATGTTGGACTACTAACCGCAAGGCCAGCAGTTCAAAACCACAAGCTGCTCCTCAGGCAAAATATGGGGGCTTTCTATTTCTGCAAAGAGTTACAGTCTTGGAAACTCACCCTGTCCTATAGAGTTGCTATGAATCGGCATCGAATCAATAGTAGTGAGTTTTTGTTTTTTTTGTTTCAAAACAACCAAAAAGGGAACAGACTGCTGAGTATGATCAAAGGAACCCTGGGTGTATACTGTTATGCACTGCACTGCTAACCAGTTGAACTGAGTTGGCAGTTCAAACCTACCAACTTCTCCATGAGATCGGAGGCTATCTGCTCCCATGAAGATTGACAGGTGTAAAACCAAGTTCTCTGTAGTAGAAGTCACTAAGAGCCAGACAGAACTGACTCGATGGCAGCCTGTTTAGATAGAGGTGATAAAAGGCTGCAAATATCATCCATGATTCCAAGTTTCACCTTTGTGTTATCAGAATAGGCTTATTTGCTTTTGAAGAAATTTGGAACTTCTAAACAAAGCATTAATACAATAAAGTACCATTTTCATCTATTTTGTATTTGGTTCCGTGAAAATTTCATTTGACAAAATGACTCTCCTGCTAAAAAGATTTGATCACCATTGAAAACCCGGATGACGTCACAAAGCCAAAGCCTGAAATTACTTCAATTTTTTTTTGTGTGTGAATTAAAACGACTTTGAAGTGGGTGGTCGCCTGGGATGTTTGGAGTTAATTTCACACAGCACCAAATTAGGAGTCCTGGGGGCCCAGAGGTTAAAGTGCTCAGCTGATACAGAAAGCCAGCCCTTCAAACGCACCGGCTGCCCTTTGGGGAAACCCGTGGGGCTCTGCACCAACACAGAGCCGGGAACCCTTTGCGGCAGCTCTGCTTTGTCCGAGAGGCTTGACAGTGTTGATGGGAGCCAGGATGGACTTGGTGACGATGTTCCTTTGTTAAATAAAGAAGTCGAATCTATGTCTAGCTGTTTCCTTTAGGTTAAATTAAAACGTACACCATTTTCAAAGTTACGCGCTCCTCTACTTATCTTAAAAACTGAAACAGGAGTAGCTATACATATTTACATATTTTACAACTTTGAGGTGGGGGTAAAATTATGTAGGCACTGTACCCCTACCCTCCCACCCCCCAAAAGAAGAAAAAACTCAACCAACTCTCCTGTCATTGAGTCCATCCTAACTTGTGGCGACCTGACACGAGATTTCTGAGACTGTAGAGCAGCGGTTCCCAACCTTCCTCATGCCGCGACCCTTTCATACAGGTCCTCTTGATGTTATGACCCCCCCAACCATAAAATTATTTTCGTTGCTACTTCACCACTGTAATTTTGCTACTGCTATGAATCGGGCAACCCCTGTGAAAGGGTCATTCGCCTCCCAAAGGGGTCGCGACCCACAGGTTGAGAACCGACCGCTGCTGTGCCGCTTCACGGGAGCAGAGGCCTCACCTTTCTCCCACCGAGTGGCCGGTGGGTTAACTGGAAAGAGAACTGACTACCTTCTTCGCCAGGTCGCTCCCGTCGTAAGAACGAGAGGAACCAGTGGACTGGGCCATGGGCCATGGAGGGAGCATTCCCTGACATAGGGGTGGGCCACGTGCTCCGTCTTGGGGCAGACGGGCAGTTCCCTGCCATGGCCAACGTTCGGGGTCTAGGTTTCACAGAACCCCCTAACAAGTCATCGGTGTAAGACGATTTTGAAGAGCGGGCCTGAAACAGTCACACCAAGGGAAGAAGCAGTTAACATTCAAATTCTGTTTACTTTGAATGTTACAAGGAAACTGATGATAGTCTCAGATCCTAGGTGGGTGGGTTTGTCACAGTATGAGACACCATTTTTTCCAAAATAAAATGTTGACAACCATGGATAGGCAAGTTGTTTGAAAGATCTTCAGGAAGTTCTTACTGTGTTTAAAAGATACTGTTAAATTAAAATTTTTAAAATGTTCTGTAGTTAAACCAAAGCAAGACCTTGTTTACAGGGATGAAGAAGACACGCTGAAGCCACGAGAGTCACAGTAATTAAATATTATTTAGTTCCTGGGCTGAACGAGCTGCGGCAGCTCATCCATGGCAGCCCGGCCTCCTGCTCTTCTCTGACCGACAGCAGCCCACCGTCCCGCGCCCACGGCCTTGCCCGCTTGGTCCGTTTCAGCCTTAGAGGGCTTTTAGTTTTCTTTTGGCCACAAGATTTTTCAGGAAAAATTCACCTAGTTAGGGAAAAGGAACACACACAATTAACTGAAAGCAAAGCACATCCATTGAGATCAGTGGTTCTCAACCTTCCTAATGGCGCGACCCTTGAACACAAGTTCCTCATGCGGTGGTGACCCCTAACCGTAACATTATTACCGTTGCTACTTCCTCACTGTCATTTTGCTGCTGTGATGGACTGTTATGAGCTGAGAGGTGCTGGGTGAAGATCAAGAGTCTCCTTCAGGTGGCTGTGCCCCCAGGGGGTTTGCTCCCGCCGACGACGTGGACTTGCTTTAACTCAGCTCTGCACAGGTGGTTCTCGTTCCTCAAATTTCAGTGGCCATTCTTGTTCTAGCCTCGCCGATCTATTTTTGTAGCCTCACCACCCCCGGTCTCTTTGGCCCCTTTTTCGACAATAACAATTAGTCATTCTTCTTATTATTCTTTTAAAACAGATTCTTATCTCTAAACTCTGCGTGCTTCTTTCTAGGAACTCAATATGACTGGGGTGACTCTAATGTGTCCACTGGCCTGCTTCTGGATACTTCTTCCACTCCCCTGCACTATCAGATTCCTCATCACTGACACAGTATTGCTGTTGGCAAAATTCATTTCAGGGAGCCATCCTGCTACATTATTAGCTTGGACCTGATGTTTATAAAATAGACCTCGTTGCAGTTGAGCGGACTCATCCGATGGAATCTCGGTAGCTTATTCCCCTCCAGGGAAGCCAGGGCTTGTCATGATAATGGACGCTCCCCCGCCTCCTAGGATGTGCCTGTGTGATAATAAGTCAGCTGCTTCGAGGGGCACATTAACTCTTCTCAGGCCATTAGGGTTCCATTTAGTCTTATCACTGGTGCAGCGCAGCCTAATGCTTATTGGCGAGCCCAGCACAGGAGGCCCGGTTTTATGAGTCTGATTAACATCTCTGTCATCTTACACACACGAGAGCAGAATGGCCAGGCCCATACCCACATCCAATGGCCGAGTAACACCCCCGCCCCCCTTCACAGTCCAGCCTAATAATGGAGAGGAGAGCCAGCATTTCCACACTCCAATCCATCATCCCCGTTGAATGCGCCAATTACCACATTTCTATCGTTCACTAGTAATTTCAACAAACATCGAAAGTTTGCAAGTCACGCCCTTATAAATGTTAAAAATCTTTCTTGGAATAAGTAAAAATTCCTTCCAAATGGTATTACTCTACTTGAGCCAGCGTGGAAACTGACTTTGGCTTTATCCTTGACATAATTTAAGTCTGACGGCAGCCTGCTTGCAGAAGGTGTCCAAGTCCCCACACACTGGCGGTCAGTGCTGAAGCAAATTCTTAAGAGTTTAAGCAGGATCCGCTGCAGTTCATTAAATTACCTTGAATTTCTTCATAGGAAAGCACTGATTATTCTGAATACATTTATTTTTGCAAAAAGAGTATATACCTATTGAAATATCTTTCTGATTTAGGCTCCAGGATACCAAACTGTCATTTACAAGATCATTAAGAGTAATATCATGTGGAAAAAACAGCCGGTTGTTTATGCTATGAAAAATTCTATTGTTGTAAGAGCCCCCAATAAAATGACTTATTTAATTAAAAAAATTTTTTTAAAAAGAAAAATTCTAATTGTTAAGTCTGACAGGGAAAACATCATAAACACTTGATGGACTACATTCAGTCATGAGTTATACCTTCCTGTGCCTTGTGACGGTCATAATGCTTTCTAAGCATTGGATTGTGTTAGGTGAAATCTTACACAGCAGACTGGTTGGCCATGGAACCATTCAGACACCAGTTGTACGAAGGACATTGGTTGCAATCCCTACAACTGGTCAGCTCACTCCCTGTTTGTATCCTGGGCCCCCCATGCCCATTTTGCTGGCTTCCCTGCGGCTCCCTCCCTCCCTTAGTGCTGGGCAGAGCAGGCCCTTTTGGTTGACCTAGTTCACTGTGCCCTGGAGACATTTCCCAGGGGTGGTTTGTAGGCCAGTCTATTATTTGGTTGGTGGTAGCCTCCGGGAGTGGCTTCACTTCCATGGTAAAACGGTAGTTCAGGTTAATAGTCGTGGAGATTCCCCCATGCTCTCATAGACCAGGATGCCTGGTTTATGAATTTGAATTTTGTTCTACAGTTCTACCTTCTCTCGTGGTCTGGTCAGAGGAGTTCGTGGTGGTAGCTACCATCTAGTTCTGCTGGTCTCAGGCAACTCATTGTTCACAGGGGCCGAATGGACTCATTGCTGCCCGAGTCTTTTGTTTCTGTGTTTGGATGGCTGCGTGCAAGCTTTAAAACACCCTAGATGCCACTCACCGAACCAAGAGGCAGGAGATCATCTTTATGAATTACGCCATGCCCATCAACAAGCCACCGGTGGAGCAGATTAAGCATTGGGCTGCTAACCAAAAAGTGTGACCCCCCAGCCTCTCCATGGAGGACAATGTGGCGATCTGCTGCCCACGTAGGAGCAGTCTACAAGGAGGCCCTGGGGCGCAGTTCTGCTCCGCCCCATAGGGGCTGGAACTGACTCCAAGGCAGTGGGTCTGGTGTGGGCAATGCCCATTGATCTACACGGCCACGGAGTCCAGGGCCCTTCGACTTCAAGGCCAGCGGCACAGTACTGGGAGATGGCTAAGGAATTTTGGCTATGGCTAAGGAATTTTCATAACTGTGCCTCAATGCATTCTATTATATATATAAATGTGCATGCAAATATACATGAAACTTCTAAAGCTCAAACTCTGCCACCGAGTCCATTCTGACTCCGAGTGACCCCTTAGGATGGAGTAGAACTGTTCCTTAGGACTTGAGACTGGACATTTTTGCAGCAGACGGCCGCATTCTTCTCAAGGGGCAGCGGTAGGTTTGAACCACTGACCTTGTAGACAGCAGCTTTGTGCCGAGGCCAAGGCTTCATACACATAGACAGGGTATAGACAAACGTGTAGGCGCCCTGGTGGTGTAGTGGTTACACGCCGGGCTGCCACCCAGACAGCGGTTCTGAACCAGGGGAGACAGATGAGGCGTCTATCCCCTTACGAAGTTACAGCCTTGGGAACCCACAGGAGCACTGCTACCCTGTCCTAGTCGGAATTGACTCCATTGCAGGGAGGTGCTTGCTGTCTCTTTGTAGTTATATGACTGTATCTGAAGGCATGTCCACAACCAGTGGCATAGTGGATTATGGGTTGGGCTGCTAACTGCCAGGCCAGTAGTTCAACCCACCAGCTGCTCCTTGGGAGAAAGATGAGATTTACAGCCGAGGAACCCACAGGGTGGGTCCACAGGATGGTTGAGTTGGCATTGACTTGATGGCAGTGAGGGGTTTTTTTGGTTATACCTACCCCCCACACCTATTTAGCATTCATGTCTACTTACGTATCCAAGCACAAATTATCACGACTATTGTTGCTGGACTGTATGTGCTATAGTAGTCACCATAAAACAAAGCCAAATCACTGCCAAGTACTTTATTCTGACTCACAGTGACCACATAGGGCAGGGTAGATCTGCCTCTGCGGGTTTCAGAGACCGTAACTCTGTCTTTCTCCTACAGTGCTGGTCATGGTTGTCCTTGACTCTGCGTACCCTCCGTGTCTTCCTTTGCTTTGGTCAGTCTTGTTACACTGACTCCTCCTGTATTGTCTTCCCTTGACCTTAATTAGCACATGGTGGGGTAGTGGTTATGTGTTGGGCTGTGACCCGCATGGTCAGCAGTTCAAAATCACCAGCAGCTCCGAGGGAGAAAAACTGGGCCTTCCACTCCCATGAGCAGTTAGAGTCTCGGAAACGCACAGGGGTCGCTGAATCAGGATTGGCGCACTGGCGGCGAGCTTGCTTTTTTACTATCTAGTTGGTGATTCTCCTTTTTCCTGGTAATCATCTATGAATGCTTTTTATGTGTAAACTATTGACTTTTTATAATGGCCACTCATACTGTATGTGTTTTCTTATGATAGACTGACTTCACTCAGCATACTAGCCAACAGATTCATGTTTTGCAGTCATTGCTTTCATTTTATTGTGATACTCCATTGTATGTTTATACCACACTTGGTTCATTCTGATGTTGTTTCCCTAGTTTTGCTATTGTGACTAATGCTGCCATGAACATCAAGCCACAGCCCTTAGTTCTGTCGGGTAACTTGGAGTGAGCTTGATGGAGCCCTGATGGTGTCACGGGTTACAAGTTGGCCTGCTAACTGCAAGGTCAGCAGTTTGAAACCACCAGCTGCTCCACAGGAGAAAGATGAGGCTTTCTACTTCGGGAAAGAGTTACAGCCTCAGCGATACCCCTCGGGGCAGTTTTATAAGGTCCTATAAGGTCGCTATGAGGTGGAATCAACTCAACGGCAGTGAGTTTGGTTTGGGTTTTGAATGTTATTTCTATTTCGGGCTTTTAAAGGAAATGTACCATTTCCCATAGCGATTATACCATTTTATAGTCCCAACAGCAGTGTGTAATGTTTCAATCATCCTACAACCTTCTCAGTATTTGTTTCACTTTTTTCTATTTCTTTTTGATCAATACTATCAATACCATAGTGCGATGATACTTTCGTAGTTTTGATCTGCGTCTCTCTATTGGCTCATGGTGAAAAGCAAAGCTTAAGGCATTGAGAACACCAGTTGAGATGTTTCAACAAGTGAGCGGAATGCTGGAAGCATTCACTTGTCTATGCCTAGGAATGTATGGGACAGCTGCCTCACCACGCAACTGGAAGAAATCCATATTTGTGCCCATTCCAAAGAAAAGTGGTTCAAAATGTGGTAGCTGCTCAACAGTATAATTAATAATACCACATGCAAGTAAAATTTTGCTGAAGATAATTAAAAAATGGTTGCTGCTGTATGTACATCAATAGAAAGTGCCAAAAATTCAACCCAGCAGTAGGAGAGGCTGTGGAATGAGGAATATCACAGCTGTTGTCAGACGGAATGTGGCTGAATGCAGAGAATGCCGAAGGTGTTTACCTGTGCTTTAGTGACTGTGCAAGAGCATCTAACTGTGTGGACCACGACGAACTATGGAAAACACCTCAAAGAATGAGAATTCCAGAACCCTTCATTGTGCTCACGTGGAACCTGTGCACAAACCAAGAGGCAGTTGCTTGACTAGAACAGGCGGAGGCTGCGTGTTTGAGAATCAGGAAAGGTGTGCATCAGGACTGAATCCTTTCTCCACGCCTGTCTAGTCTGTAAGCCAAACAAATAATCCAAGAAGCTGGGCGATATAAAGAAGAATGTGCATCAGGACTAGAGGAAGCTCCATTAATAAGAGGAACGAGAGAGGACTTGAAGCTCTGACTGAGGAAGATCAAAGACCACAGCCTGCGGAAGGATGACACCTCAGCATAAAGAAGACAAAAATCGTCCCCACTGGATGATAATAAGCAGAACAGAAAAAAACCACCCAGTTGTCAAGGGACACGTTTTGCTTGGATCCATATCAATGGCCTAGAAAACAGCTATCAAGAAATCAAATAACGGTATGTCCAGGGTGCCGTATAGCACTGATGAAGCACATAACTATCCTCTAGCTCTTTATTTTTGCCTCACTCATCTTGCTAGACCTGCGTACACACATTTGTATAATCAAGATCTTGGGAGGCATGAAATACAAGATAGATAAACCCCTCAGAAACAGTAATGGGTGTAACAATTCCCTAAGGGCATGGGAAAGAGGTGGGGAATGGGGGAAGGGGGAATTGATAGCAACGAATGAATGTATAACCCCACTCGAGGGGACTGAACAACAGAATTGTAAGTGAATGGATACATCAGAGGGTATAAGATATGGAAATAATAACATCAACAAATAATATATTAAGGGTCCATGGGGATGGTAAGGTGGGGGAGGGAGGGGAGTTGATACCAAAGAGTTCAAGGAAAAAAAGTATTGAAAATGATAATGACAGAGATTAACAATTATGCTTGATCTAATGGAACTATGGATTGTCAATATTTGTAAGAGCTCCTACTAAAAGGTTTAAACATGAAAAAAAAATCAAATGACGTATTGCATTGGACAAATCTTCTGTAAAACAACTCTGTTAAAGTACTGGAAAACCAAGGTGTCCGTCTGAGGAGTGCGGTGTGCCTGACTCGAGTCCTGGTGATTGCAGTCTCCTCACATGCAGGCAGGAGCTGGATTATGGTGCTGGTGAAGAGCACGGAGTACCAAAGGTGCCAGAGGAGGCATAGCCAGGATGCTTCTCAGAAGTGAGGGTGGCAAGACTTTACTCACATCCTTTGGACACGTTGCCAGGAGGGGCCATGTCCCGGGAAGGACACCATGCGGAAGGCTGTGAAGGACACTGACAATGTGGCTGAAACAGGGCAGTCTACAATTCTGTTGAGCGTTGGTCACTATGAGGTGGGATGGAATTGATTGCACCTACAACAATGGAGATTTGGAAGACAACTCATGGCTAACTGACTAGGAGAGATCCATATTTGTACCCATTCCAAAGAAAGGTGACCCAACAAAGTGCTCAAACTATAGAACAACATCATTGATTTCCCAGGTAAGTACAATTGTGCTAGAGATCATCCAGCATGGCTGTAGCAGTGCATTGACAGGAACTGACAGGCGTTCACACTGGATTCAGAAGAGGATGTGCTATCACTGCTGATGTCAGAAGGATCCTGGCTCAAAGCAGAGAATACCTGAACGATGTTTACTTGTGTCTCACTGATGATGCGAAGCAATGAGACTGTGTGCACCATAAGAAACAATGGAGACCCTTGAGAAGAACGAGAATTCCAGAGCACTGCATTGTGCTCATGCGAAACTAGTCCAAGGCAGCTGTGCAATGGAACAAGGGATTCTCCACAGTTTAAAATCAGGAGAGGTGTGCACCAGGGCTCTATCCTCTCACTATCATTATTTACTCTGTAGGCTGAGCAAGTCATCAGAGAGGCTGGCTTATGTGAAGAAGAAAGTGGCAGCAGGACTGAGTAAGCCTATGAATAACCTGCAGTGTGCAGTGGACACAACTTCGTTGGCTAAGAGTGAGGAGGAACAGAAGCCCTTGCTGATGAAGAGCAAGGATTGTGGCCTGCAGGATGGATTGTAACTCAATGTGAGGAAAACCAAAATCCTCACACTGGACCAATAGGTAACATCATATTAAAGGGCGAAAAGGTTGAAGTTGTCAAGGACTTTGTCTTGCTTGGATCCACAATCAATGCTCCTGGAAGCAGCAGCCAAGAGAACAAAAGACATGTTGCAGTAGGCAACTTTGCTGCCCGCAACCTTTTAGCGTATTGAAAAGCAAGGCTGTTACTTGGAGGACGAAGGTCCTGACTTAAGCCACGGCATCTCCATCGCCTCATATGCATGTGAGCACCGGACACAGCATAAGGAAGACCGAAGAAGAATGGATGCATGTGAATGGTGGTGCTGGGGAAGATACTGAAAGTCCATGGGCCGCTAAAAGGACAAACTGGTCTGTCTTGGAAGAAGTAAGGCCAGAATACTCCTCGCAGGCAACGAGTATTTTTAAGTATTTTGGACATGTTGTCAGGAGAGACCGGTCCCTGATGAAGGACTTGGTAGCGTGGAGGGACAGCAAAGGGGAGGAAGGCCCTCACCAAGATGGACTGAAGCAGTGGCTGCACCACTGGGCTCACAATTGATCCTATGAGGGTAGGGCAGACCAGGCAGCGTCACCCTCTGCTGTGCATGGGGTCACTAGATGGCCCCTCACAACCACAAGGGCCAACGATCAAACTTCTGCAAGTAGTTGTGAGCTATCTGAATGTCTTCATGTCCCTTTACCCATGTTTAAATTGTCTTTCTGTTGTTGATGTAGTACAGTTTTGAAGTAAATTTGAGAGATTAGATTCTTTACAGATAGCTGTTACCAATGATTACTATTAATTTTTTTGGAGGGGGCAGCTGGATACCAGTTATTATTTTTTTTGCCCAGTCTCGCTTCTTTTTCCTCTTTTGGTTTTAGTTTTTTGGAGGTTCCCATTTCTAATTTATCCTTTGTTGTTTGTGCATTTTGATATTCTATTCATTCCATAAATTAGGTTCCAGAGCTTTGCCTCTGTTTCTTCTCACACGAATTTTAGAGTTTTAGGGCTAAGATCTAAGTCTTTGATTCATTTTCAGTTCGCTCCCATCCGGTGTGTGGAACAGGTTTCTTCTACAAACGGATATCCAGTTTTGCCAGCACCATCTATTAGAGGGACTACCTCGCCTCCGTTTCACGGGCTTTGACCCTTAGTGGAAGGTCAGCTGTCACAGCTACGTGGATTTACTTCTGGATGCTCCATTCTGTCCCACTGGTCTCTGGGGCTGTTGCCCTACCGGCAACAGGGGCTCTGACCACCACGGCTGTGTAGCAGGTCCCAAGGGCAGGAAATGTGAGAACTACTATTTTATTGTTCTTCTTTAATGTATAATGTTACTTTCCTTTTTTTTCTCTCATCATGTTACTTTTTAATCTTTGGGATATGCTACTGTTTTCATACATTAGTTCAAGCTCCTATAATAACAGCTACATTTATATTATACTATTAGCTCATAATAAAAATAAGAGCTAAGATTCCAAAGGGTGAAAATTGCATTGTAGCCAGTAACACTGAAAATATCTACAGGGAAAAAAAATCTCATAGATTTTATTTTTATATCTGGGGGTAGGAGGGAGAGGAACACAAAGAAATGAATGGTGTAAGCAGTGCGGCTTCCACACAGATGCTTCATAGGGCTGAAATTAATCTAAATTGGAAGTTTAGTGATGTAGCTATTATCATTTCCAAATGAGTGTACATTTTTCAGGAAATCATATTAAATGCTTGACTGATATTTGTTATTTCTGAATAACCTATTATGGGAATAAATGGATTACTTCTGTTTTCATCGTTGTAGCTGAACTATAAAGGGAGAGGCTCTTCATTTGAGGAACAAATTTGATTTAAGAAAGATTTTCCCATCATGGTGCAAACCTCTTAAGGATGCCCAAGAAAAGAAACTCATTTATTTCCAAAACCAGAAGACAACCACAGCTATTACAATGTACCCCAGGGGAGACCTTAATGTGCAAAGTTATGGTCTATATCAAGTCAATCCCTGCTGATTAACTTACCTGCTTTATATGAAGAACGCACCAGAGGGCCACTTGCAGTATAATGAAAGCCAAGGTCATTTCCTACATTTTCCCAGTATTTGAATTTTTCCGGAGTAATGTATTCTTCAACCTAATTTAAAGAATGACTTCTGGTCAGAATCTAGAATTCACCTAAATTTTGACTCTACTAAAAATTTCTGTCCATGTATGCAGAATGGTCTTTACTTCCTAATTTATCAGCACCCCTCCTCTACCTTTTCTCAGACATGGGCAGTTAGGTGGTATAGTGGTTATGCACTGCTCTGCGATCCACAAGGTCAGCAGTTGGAGACTACCAGCTGCTCTGAGGGAGAAAGAGGAGGCGTTCTACTCCCGTAGTGGTACAGTCTTGGAAACTCACATGGAGCAGCTCTACCCTGTCCTATAGAGTCACCAAGAGTCGGCATTGACTGGATGGCAGTGTGTTTTAGGGAGAGAGAGGAGGGGTAACATTTTTGTTTTGTACCACATGAGCTACCTCACAGGACAGAGCAAGATGAGATTATATGTCTGTAATATCTGGATTAGTGTCTCATGGACTAGTAGACACAATCAAGAATTAGGAACAGCTATCATATTCTTGAAGACAAAGCTATGTCTTAATCATCTTGTTTCTTCTTAGGACTGCCTCGCAAATGGTCAGTACTCAACAAGTTTCTTGAATGAATGAGTGAAAGAACATCCACTACAGGAACAGAAAGACTGGCTTGTTTCTCACTTCACCTCTGAGCTCATACAACGCTAAAACAAATTGCAAGATCACCGAGCATGAATGAATGCATGCAATTTCCAACCCTTAACTTTGCGGACAATTTGGGGGTCAGCAAACAAGTGACGGTTTGGCTACATTCTGCAAATAAACTGGAAAGTGGGACTTGGAAACAGACGTGGAACATTAGCTAAAGAAGCCAGGGGCTTCTTAATCTCACCGATGGACAGTAAGAAACTTTCAGACACCAGACAGGCATACCTTCAGGTGGCGCTTTGTCGGCTGCATATATTGTCCAAACGTCAAACAGTCCACATCTGCCTTACGAAGAGCTGTAGACAGATAAAACATAGGTGACCTTCTAGCTCTTGGGACAAACACTGAAATGGTAGATCTCAATATAATGTTCCCAAGGGATAGTTCAGGATGGGGTGAACGTCACACTGGCCTATAGCGCTGATGTTGGGGAGTTAGGCCATACTTAGTAATTTAAGCATATTTCCGTGCCTGGGAACCCTGGGGAAGTGGTTCACACGCTGGGCTGATGAAAGCAAGGTCAGCAGTTTGAAACCAGTGGCAGCTCGTCAGGAGAAAGATGAGGCTCTGTACGCTTATTAAGAGTGAGTCTCAGAAGCTCACAGAGACAGTTCCACCCTGTCCCACAAGGTCACCATGCGCTGACCTTGACCCAAGGCAGAGAGTTTGGTTTTGGACGTCCTTCCAAATGGATTTCGTCCTGGAAGCTAGGTTTTGTGTCGGATTTTTCAAGATGGTTTTCTTTGATCGGAAAAGCAACACAAGCTCTGCGTGGAAAATTTGGCCAGCACACAAGAGCATTTGTAAGGCCCAAGAAAACATCAGACAGCTCAGGCGCTGAAACAAGCAGTGTCCACACTTGCTTTCTCCCAGTGTGTTGGTGGGCATTTCTCATACAATGGCACCCACACTGTAACTTGCAGTCTTGTACCCGGTTGGGCAGGAGTCCCAGCGGGGCAGTGGGTGACGAGCAGGGTCAGCAGTTAGAAGCAGAAAGCTTCATCACCCACCGGGTCAAGTCTTAGAGCCCCAGAACCCAAGGGCATCAGTTCTCCTCTGTCCTCCAAGGTCATGAGGAGCCGGAAACGACTCCATGGCAGGGAGTGTCCCGGGTTTTTATGTGCCAGGGGCTGAGGTCAGGATCGAACACATAGGAACGATTAAGACACACACGTGGTACAACAGACACAAGGTCAAGTTCCTTGAACGCCCGATGGAAGCCATGCTAGAACAGAGGGGAGAATGTTCCATGGAGGGCGCTTGTTAGGCCAGAGAGCTGAATGAGGAGGTCAAGCCATCCCGAGGGTCACATTAGGCTTCCAGAGTTGTGATTTGACCTCTGACTTATCAGAAGCTTTCGAAAAACAAACTGTCTGTAGTGTCATAACGAACCACCTTTCACCACTATTTGAACGTAGTGCTCTTTGAACCAATAAATAACTACGCCCAGGACCTTCAGGTAAAAGAAACAGTTCACATGTCAATATTTAAAAACCCTAAGGGGGGGGGTGTCTCCGTAGGAATCATAAAGTAAATGGGCTGCTGGGTCAAAATGGCAGGCGAGCCCCCCCCTCCACGTGCTACCCATGTAACAACGGGGTGAGTCGGGTGAGTCGGCGTCCCCTCCTGCGCCTGGGTGGTCTCACGCCCCGTCACTGTCGCCTGCTGCAGGGTGGCCTCTGCACCAGTGCCCCTTGGCTGGAGGAGCGGCAGGGGAGGGGGCTCGGAGGGTGGGAATCCGGTGAAACCCGTGGGCCTCCCTTCCCTCCGCTGCAGGATGAGGGGCTCTGCCAAGCGGGCTCCAACCTGAAAGCGGTCATTGCCCAGGATTTGTTTGTTGTACCTTTCATCGTTGCGTGGACTTGCTCATCCGTCTCCCCCAGGCCCAGCATAATGGACGTTTTAGAAATGACGTCCGGCCGAACCTCCTTGGCGTGTGTCAGGACCCGGAGGGACTGCTCGAAATTGGCCCGGGGGTCGCGAACTTTCCTTGGAAAGACCAGGCAGAAAACCACCGCTCGTTCCACCGGCCCAGCCCTGCAGCCGCGGGCGCCCAGGAGGGCCCTTCCGGACGGACCGCAGGCTGCAGCCCACAGGTGCGGATTTAGGGCCTCCCGGGGCCTCGCCTCCGTGCTCCCCGGCCCTCCCAGCCTGGCACACGGAGAAAGCACGACCTGGCGGAGGCGCCTGAGTGGACAGGGGACGTAGGAAGGCCTCCGTGGGGCACAAAGGGAAAAACCCTCGGTTTTGGGCACTGGGAAACTCTCAGGTGTCCTTTCCCTAAAGCCCTAGCCGCCCTCTGCTGGTGGGTCCCAGCACTGCGCCTCTGCGGGGAAGATGCCCGCTTCTCGAATTTTCACTGGGCAGGGTGCTTCTCAAGTGAACCCGGGGAAAATGGCACCCACTGGTGGCGGCATCAGAAGGTGTGCCCAGGTTAGCGCAGGCTTTGTGCCACTTTCAACAGCAGCCAGAGCAGCCGGCTTCAAGGCGACCGGGCCAGAAAGTTACCATAGTTAAACTAGCTCGCATTAGAATTCTAAGATATCATCTAAGTGACTTAGGATGCCTTTATTTCTTTTTTTTTTTCTTCAAATCAGAGCTTAATTGACAGGAGGGGAAGACATAAATTGATGAATTTAAACAATAACTGTAAAACTGACAACAGAGAAACGAGACTCCTCAAGTTGCTCACTGAATTTAAGCTGTTTGGATGCTGACGATTTTGCGGAAATGCTGATTATCTGTTTTAACTTTTTCCCAAGTCCTGTGAAAGAATGGGTATATGCTCATGAAAATCACTGTTGAGTAGTTTACTAAAATTAAAGGAGATGAACAAGAGCCACTATGAATCTTGTCTGAAGGTTAGAATAATTTTCTTTTTTCTGCAACTTGAATATAATCAGAAGTATAATTACTCTTCACTAACAAAGGCAAAGCAAAAAGTAGATTAAGGAAACATAATATCTACTTTACATCTTTCACAAAGCCTTGTCTTTAGAATTACAATCTGAACAATAGCTCTTATCGAACTTTTTTCTTTAGAAACGTATACGTTGATAGAATTCCCCAATGAAGCCATGTGGCCGGCACTTTCTTTTGCCAGGAGGAGGCTTGAGACGGAGACTACTGATGCAATCTCGGCATTTGTTAAGGGCTATTGAGATGGCCATGCCTTCGTGAGCCAGTTTAAGCAGGTCACGCGTTGCCAGGAGTGTACCCATTTCATCTCCGTCACCATGTGGGTGGCTGTGCTTCTGTTCACAGGACTCTGCTGCGACCCTTTCTATTACAGTCGGGTCCCTCGCACCGCCTCCTTTTTCATTTCGTATTTTGGTGATTTTCAGCTTTCTTTTTTGGTCAAACCAGCTATTTTTTACTGACCTTTTTTTTTTCTCCACCTGACCTTCTAAAAACAACAACAAAACTCAACTTATTAGTTTTGGGAAGACTGGTTTCCTATTCTCTTTCATCTATGAAAAATACACGTAAAAAGAATCAATAAACACTTTAAAAAAATGATGTGCCCTGTGTGCGTGTATGTACCAAAATGTGGATATGTGTGTATAAAGCACACACATATATTTGTTAAATTCATGCTAAGGTGCTAACAAAAGATTTTCCCGGGTTACTATATTTATGTTCATGTTCTTTTTGCTGACTACATTTCCTGATTTCTCTGTAATAAGCACGCAGTGCTTTTGCTTAAGAAAGAAAAGGAATTGTTCACTTTGAAAGGGTCAATTGCCAAGGCCCCCTTCATGAAAGACCAGAGAAGATACAGCAGGCCCACCTTCCCCGTGACTCTGGGCCCGCAATCACCTCTGTAGTTCTGGGACTGTCTCCACATTGTGTGCGTACACATCTAAGCCGGACAGAGACACCTGCTCTACTGCTTTCAGATCTCCCCGGAAATCAGGGGTAAGGCACTCCACAAGAATTTTTGGATTTCTAGAGAGAGACAAAAAGATACGTATCAACCTAAGGAAAGGGATGGACATAACTGTTGCTCAAAACAGGCACACTCAGCTCTCATGATCAGTTTAAGAAAGCACCCACAGTCTAGATGAATATTCAGATACGGAGGTAAGTTCCTGACTCTGAAGTATGCACATTTTCTGCAAACATGTACCTACAAGCAAATGCTTTTTTTTTTTTTTTTTTTGAGAAACAATTACATAACCTCCAGCAGAATGAGAAAGATTTAGAACTCCCTAAACATTGATACCCTTTGCTTTCAGGTAGAAAGCTTAAATGAGCTGAATTTACGTGGGGCACAAGATGCTTGAATTACAAAGGCAAATGCAAACCGGGTACCTTTCCTTCAAGTACGACACGGTCTTCGCAAAGTGCGCAGCGCCCCCGTCAGGCATGTCTAGAAAGGAGAGGGCGCACTGCTCAAGAGGACGGCACAGTGCAGTGCGACCCGTTTCCCAAAGAGCCACCACGCACTCACCATCTCGGTCCACGGACGTCAGGACGACGTAATCCAGACCCCACGCTGCGATTGCCTTTGCAGTATTGTAGGGCTCGTTGGCGTCCAGTGGAGGTGGCTTTCTGGCGGTTTTAACTGAGCAGAATCTGCAGCCTCTGGTGCACGTGTCACCCATCAGCTAGAAGAGAGATGGGGCAACTTAAAGCCAATGGACAGATGACCCTTAAGAACTTAAAGCAGAAAGAATAAAGCAAGTTACAAAGAATGCTTAGTTTGATGCTGTTGATAAGAAGTTTGAAACATTCAAAACTGAACAATATGGTTGAGATTCATATACACATGATAGTGGAGGGGGGGATGGTTCAGAAACAATAAACTCAGAAGTAAGAAGGAATCGGGAAGTGATGGGATCCGGAAGGGGAGGGGAGGGGAAGGGAGGGGAGGAGCTGCCAGTGGTGTTCTGCTCTCAGAATGGAGGGGAGTATCCGGGTGATTGTTGTACTGTTAGTCTTTATAACTTACACATAGCGTATACACATTCTTTGCTATCTGCTCAGTGATCAGTAAACATGACCTTAAAAGAAATCACATCAAATGGACAATTGTGTCTGTGAGTCTCTGGAGGTTAAATGGAAGGCATGGCTCTTTCTGTTAAGTGGTGAAACCAAAGACAGGTGGACCAGGAAGCCATCATGAACAGCGCTTCCACATCTCAATCAGAGCCCTGCCTCAAAGTAGCCCATGAGTAGCTACCAGAGAGGAAGAGTCGACAATGGGGACGGGGGTGGGAGGAGATCCGAACAGGCTGGAGTAATCCATCAGAGTTTTCCCCTTCTTCTTCTTCTTTTTTTTCACTTCTTCAATTAGCTTATTAACTTATTGTTATTAATTTGAGACAAGAGAGTAACAAGTGTCTTTGGCAAACAGGACTGAATCCTAAGGTTCATTCGTTTTAAACCAATGCGTGTTGTGGTTTTTACGTTCTTTTTTGTTTTTTTTTCTTTTTTAACATTTTATTAGGGGCTCATACAACTGTTATCCCAATCCATACACACATCAATTGTGTAAAGCGCATTTGTACATCGTTTCTCCCCTTCTTTTTTAAATCTCTCAAAATACCTATGTTATGGAAAATCTGATCAGTGGTTCATCATGGACATTTAGAATTCCCCAGTGAAGCCACCTGGGAGACACAAAATAGTCCTTGAAACTTTTTGAAACGAAGGTTTCCATGTTTGGGGCTGGTCTTACCATGATCGTGGCTGTGGCTGTAGCGTATTCTCCGCCTCCCCAACACTCGCCAATATTGGGACAGCGGGCCTCCTCACACACCTGTGAACAAAGAGGCCAGAAGAGCACCGCGATGTTGAAAATGTCACCAGTTGAGCCACCAGTGAGCAGGCATTTTCAACTGCGTATTCTTTGTACATATTGATGAAAAATATTCACTATTCAAAAAATGCTGTTAAATTGCAAAATCCTATGTAGATCCAGAAGGTTCCATTTTAAAATGAAATGTTATATGAATGTATATATTCTAAATGCACACGTAGAAAAGTCTGGAAGTCTGAACTGTAAAAACGGTGTGATTATTTGAGAGTGTATATGTGACATAGTCTCACATTCAATTTATACTCTTTCTGATGAGCATGTATTTTGTTTGAGAAATAAATTAAGAACAAGAACAACAACAATAACGAAAACACCCCCTTTTCCCAAGATGCAGAAAAATGGCATTTTTATAGGGGGTACCATTAAATGAGAGGTTCAGAAATACAATGACCTTTTCTCTTTAGCAAGGAAAATGATTTTAAATTTATGTCTATTACCGATAATGACATAACACGAAATCTTTTTATTCACCTTCCCTGCTTTGTTACTCACATATTGAATATTCATCTTTAAGTCACCTGTGCCTAGAAGCACTCTGGCTTTGGTAAAGAGGGACGGGAACACTTGAGCACACTTACAGTATGAAGATTTAAGTTCCGCAATGTATTTTTCAGCTTGTTGTAATTTTTTCCTATGGGAATCTCTGTCTTAAGCCATGGCGGCAATCTTAACCTAAGGAAAACCAAACATGACCACCTGTTAGCAAATACACAGCTGCATAACCACGCGGCTTGGTGGCTACCCTGGCTCTATCACCATCCCTAATTAAGAATTCCCCCTTAAACGTGGATTCAGAGAAGCAAATTTAGACTTTTTCAAACTACTTTAAGAAATACTAATAACAAAGTCTAACAGGGTACGATTCCCCTGGTCTACCTTTTTGCGCAGCTACTCAAAACCAAACCAATCTCACTGGCATCGAGTCACTTCTGACGCATAGTGGTCCCGCAGGACAGAGCGGAGCTGCCTCTCAGGGTTTCCAAAATTGTGACTCTTTACAGCAGCCAAAAGCGTCCTCTTTCTCCCGTGGGGTGGGCTGGTGGTTTCAAACTGCTGACTCTGGACAGCAGCCCGGAGTGTAACCACTACTCCACCAGGAATGTAGCCTTCACTATGGACGGACTCAATGAGTCCGTCAAAAGCCTGACTAAAAAAAGAAGGAGCTGTCTTTGACCCGCTCATTCCCCGGTGAATAAAACCGCCCCCAAGGTGCAATGCTTGTTCAGAGGCGATAGCACATAGCCTGCATTTTCCGGTGGAGCTCTAGTGGCTCCAAGGGTCCAGAGCTCTCACCGAAAGGTTGACTGTCCCAATCAAGTTGGCAGTTTGAACCCACCCAGAGGCTCCCTGGGAGAAAGTCGAGAAAGCCCGCAGGGACAGTCCCACTGCCATAAAGCGTGCTACCAGCTGAAAACCATTCAGAGTCAACAACCACCAAATGGAAAAGAGCTATGCCTTAGAGGAGACTCTAGGCATCCTCAGGTTCCCCATGGATTTCCGCTCTTTTGGGATCTAGAAATTGTTGGATGAAAATATCTCCCCAAACAGTTTGCCATTGCACAAAATCCCCTCACCATTCTTTTGAATTAAAGCAAGGTTTCCAGAGAGAGTCACCTATAAACTGATTGGGAGAGGCAGCAAATTAGATCATCAGACTGAGTAACAACTAGAAATGTGTAACGGACCAAGTGAAACGTTGATCACTAGTTGAGTGAGGAAACTCGGTGTTGGGAAGAACATAGGAGATGGTGGTGTAGACCGGTGAGGGCTCCTAGAAGGGGGAAGAACAGCTGCCACAGGGGACGCAGAAGACAAAGACTATCCCTCACTTTCAGTCACTGGCCTGTTCTGCTGTGCTTTCATCTGCCATCGCTTCTTCCTAATGACTTAAACTAAATGGAACAAGTCTGAAATTAAAGAAATACACTAGACCTTGCTTACACCTGGGAATAGGAGCAAGGAGGAATTGAGACATGAAAATTATCTCAAATTTTCGACTACCTTTCTCCTTTCTGGCGTTTTAAGTTTCCCTTATAGTCATCCCAGGCACTCTTGTCTGCAAGATCGCCGGATACAAAATCTTGAAGGTCTGGTCCATTCTGTAGAAATTTCTTCTTTTCATCTGGCAGGGAACTTAATGTTCGGCCAGGGCTGCATAAATATCGTCCCAAAACCTAGAGAAAGAGTTCATTATACTATTTAGCTTATTAAGGATGGTTTTGTTTTAACCCATAGTGCTGTCTAAAACAGGGTAAAAACAGAGAACTTGCCCAGAAATAATGGCTGACCATTCAGAAACTCTATGAGAAGCTCAGATGGATTCAGGCTCAAAGATATCAGCTGGACCTTGGCTCAGAGCAGAGAATACCAGAGGGATGTTTACTTGTGTTTCATCGACTATGCAAAGGTATTTATTTGTTCAACTGTTGGATCATAATAAGCTATGGGTAGCATTGAGAAAAATGGGAATTCTAGAACGTCATTGTGCTCATGAACATCCTACCCAGGGACCAAGAGACAATTGTGCAAATAGAGCAAGGGAATGCTGAGTGGTTAAAAAGCAGGAAGGATGTGGGTCAGGGTTGTGCCCTTTCACTATATTCAATCTGTCTGCTAAGCAGATAATTCCAGAAGATGGGCCATCTGAAGAGGAGCATGGCATGGGGTTGGAGGGAGACTCACTAACACGACATGACATGCAGGTGACACAAGGCTTGCTTGTTGAGAGTAAAGAGGACTTGATGGCCTCATATGCATGTGAAAGTTGGACATTGACTAAAGAAGATCCAAAAGAATCAACACATTTAAATTATGGTGCTGGTGAAAAGTATTGAAAATACTGTGGACTGCCTACAGAATAAACAAATCTGTCTTGGAAGAAGTACAGCCAGCATGCTCCTTGGAAGCAAGGATGGCAAGGCCACATCTCATATACTTTGGATACGTTATCAGGAGAGACCAGGTCTGGAAAAGGACATTAAGCTTGGTAAAATAGACCAGTAGCAAAAAACGAAGAAGACCCTTGACATGCTGGATTGAGGAAGTGGTTGCAATATTGGCCCCAAAGATTACAATAATTGTGAAGAAGGCACAGGATTGTGCACATTCCATGCTACTGTACACAGTGGCGCCGTCAGTCGTACCCAGCTCTGCAGCATTTAACAACATAAGGAACCTGGCTGGGTACTAAGTTTGGCTACTAATTGCAAGGTCAGTTTGAACCTGACCATCCCTCCACGGCAGAGAGATGAGGCAGCTTCCTGCTGTGATAAAGCCTTAACAGCCTTGGAAAACCCAGAGGGTCAGTCCTAGTCTGTCCTCTATGGTGGCTGAGATGGAATCCACTCCATGGCTGTGGGTTGGGTTTTGGTTACTTCTCTAAGTTGGGAATCTAAGAGTAAAGATAATGCAAAGGAGAGCAAACCAAAGCCTTAAAAAGAACGGGAGTTCCTGGTTATTGCTTATTGCTAACTTTGGGGAAGATCTGGAAACCTTTTGCTGTGGTTAGCTTATGTCACAAGTAGAACCTGAAATGATGTTTCTGTGCTTGAACATGAGAGCCACTTATTGAAGGACTAGACATGTGTGCAATATAAAGAATCCGGGTATTTGGCCTCTAGATTTGAACAAGCATGTGTACAAGTTATCTAAGACCTTGCAAAGTTCAATGGAATGAACCATTGCAGAGAAACATTTAACAAGAGTGCCTGTCAGGGTGTGGTCCGATGGGTACTGCGCTGGTCCATGCCCCTGGCTAAAAAAGCCTAGAGAGCGCCTAAGGCTGTCCGCAATGGGCCATTTAGCAAGTCCCGGTATTACCGGGGCTGCAGTCTGAGGTTCAGTCTGCCGGTCAACTGGCGCTTAACTATTTGCGCCACCCAGGGATTCCTGTTGAGCCCAATATAATGTACTTCTTTGGAGTGTTCAGGCTGTGCCTCGACAAATACAAAAACAAAGCACTGTGATCAGTAGAAAACAAGTCCTCAACGTTGAAAAGGAACCAAGAGCAGAGCCTCTTGCTTATGGAATTTTAGGAGGACTGAATACGGCACATGAAAAATGTTGACAATCTGTCATCGGACATTTCGAGGGGATGAAAGGACAGACTCCCCGCACCCCACCCTGCTCTGGCCCTGCCACTTACCGGGGGTGCCAGGGTGCGAGCGGCTCCTCCGCAGCGTAGAGACATCCTGTCGTAAGGTTTAGCGAGGTCCGGAGGCCAAGGAATAAACAGAAGCCCGGGAGAAGACAGATCGACACACCGTCGCTCGATTTGTGACGGACTGTTCAAGATACCACGGTGCCTCAGAGAGTTGAATTAATCTGCAATCAGCTGCTTTAGCCTTAAAGGCGTCGCGCACTCATGACGCAATACGTAGGTCTTTACGGACTACAAAAGCGTGATGACGAAATACGTTCTCTCTTTGCCGCATCTACTGCGAGGTAAGGGGCTTTATGAATTCCACGGGCCCGGGGAATCTGAAGCCATCGGCTCTTGCAAAGCCGTCGGCGCGAATCTGGCGCAAGCATCAATTATTTGTGGTTCTTCCCCTGCGCGGCGAGCGCAATATCGGCCTGGCGGCGCCAAGATTTGGACCCCGTTCTGGCTTTTTAGGCCCTTATCCTCGTCTTCTCAGCTATTCCGGGATGGCCAGGCTGGATGGGACTCTTCGGCCTGGACAAAAAAAGGGCCCCGACTTGACGTCCACAGGCCAGAGCTCCTAACGCTGTTTAGAGGCCGCGCCTCCCGCGGGCAAGCGTACCAGTGTCTTGGGCGTTGGTTCCTCTCCCCCGGAATCTTGGTCGGAGCGGGCGCCGGCGCGGTGTTTAGATCGCAAAGCGGCCCTGAGCCCGCTTTCTTACCTCCGCTGTTTGTTTCAGAATGAAGACCATTCTCAGCAACCAGACTGTCGACATTCCAGAGAATGGTAGGCACTTACTTAACTTTTGTTTTACTCTTGCCCCGTCAATTGCTCGTGTTCTGCGTCCTCACGAATGCACTTTCTGTTGTAGTGGACATTTCCCTGAAGGGGCGCACGGTCATCGTGAAGGGCCCCAGAGGAACCCTGCGGAGGGACTTCAATCACATCAACGTAGAACTCAGCCTCCT